AACTGACCCAGAGATGGCGGGGGAAGTTATTGTGTTAAACGTGACTAAAATTGTTCAGCCAAAAGGGTGCGAACCATTTTTGAGTGGCCACACAGCTACAAGCAGAGGCTGGAGATTGGGAATTGATAAAGGAAGTCGCCTGCCTGTCTGTGCTAGCAGTCACCTGTTGTGTAATCCAGAGTATGCCTGGTCCAGTGTGGTTGCAACAGGCACAGAGAGAAGATATGATGATAATAAATATTTATGTTCTAAATGTCAGTGCATCCAATTACATTAACAAATACTCCATTAAATCTCAGCTAGACCCCAACAAGATATTACTGGGTGATGTTAACACACCCTTATCACCAATAGACAGGCCACCAAAACATATAATACAGGTATTTCCAACCTAAATAATATCATAAATCAAATGGATCTAACAGACTCTACAGAATATTTCATCCCAGAAACAACTGGATTTACCTTCTTCTCAGCAGCTCATGAAACTTTTTCCAAAATAGGTCACAGGTAAATAGAATATTTGCCTAACTGAATTAAAAAAAAACAATCAAAAAGATAATACACTATTATCAAGTGTGTCTTATTCCAGGGATGTAAGGTTGGTTCAACATACATGAAATCAATTAATGTAATTTACCACTTTAACAGAATTAAGGACAAGAAATTACATGATCATCTCAATAAATGTTGAAAAGGCCTTTAATAAAATCTACCACACATTCATGTTAAAAATGCTTGAAAAGCTATGGATGAAAGGAATGCACCTCAACATCATAAAGTCTATTTATGACAAATTCAAAGCCAACATCATACCGAATGGAGAAATACTAGAAGTGTTTCCTCTAAAATCAGGAAAGAGGCAAGGATGTGCACTCTCAAAACTTCTATTCAACATAGTCCTTGAAATTCTAGCTAGAGCATCAGGCAAGAGAAGGAAATTAAAGTGATTCAAATAGGAAAAGAAGTCAAACTATCTGAGTTTGCTGATGACATTATCATATATCTAGAAGACCGTCCCCTCCCCCCCAAAAAAAAACCCCAAATCTCCACCAGAAGACTTCTAGCACTTATAAATGAGTTCATCAAAGTAGCAGGATACAAGATCAACACCCAGAAATTAATAGCTTTCATACACTCCCACAGTAATTAAGCTGAGGAAGAAATTTTAAAAAATCATCCCATTCATAATAACCTCTAAAAAATAAAACACTTGGGAATTAATCTAACCAAGGAGGTAAAAGAGATCTACAATGAAAATAACAGAACACTGAAGAAAGACATTGAAGAAGACCTTAGAAGATGGGAAGACATTCATTCCTCCATATTCTTGGATAGGCAGAATTAATATTGTCAAAATGGCCATACTACCAAAAGTGCTATATAGATTCAATACAATTCCCATCAAAATACCAACGACATGCTTCACAGAAAAAAAAAGTCCTAAAATTCATTTGGAATAATAAGAGATCCAGAATAGCCAAAGCAATCCTGAGCAAGAAGAGTGAAGCAGCAGGCACCACAATACCTAATCTCAAATAATACTACAGAGCTGTAGTAATAAAAGCAGTGTGGTATTGGCACTGTAATATACATGAACACCAATGGAATAGAATATAAGACTGAGAAACAAACCCACATACTTACAGATAATACTTGACAAAGGTGCCAAAAATATATTTTGGAGAAAAGACAGCCTTTTAAACAAATGGTGCTGGAAAAACTGTATGGCTATATATAAGAAATGAAATTAGGTCCATCTCTCTCACTCTGAACAAAAGTCAAGTCGAAATGGATCAAAGACTTAGAAATTAGACCACAAACCTTGCAACTGCTAGAAGAGAACATAGGTCAACACTTTATCATATTGTTGCTAGCTCTGACTTCCTTAATAAGACCCCTTAGGTGGAAGAAATAAAACCAAGAATATATAAGTGGGACAGCATCAAATTAACAAGGTTTTGCACAGCAAAGAAGACAAGAATGTGAAGAGAGCCTAAAGAATGGAAGATCTTTACTAGCTGTTCCTCTGACAGGTGATTAATATTCAGAATATATAAAGAACTCAAAAAACTCAATACCAAAAAACAAATAACCCAATCAATATATGAACAAAAGAAATAAACAGAAACTAGTGAAAACAAACACAAATAGCCAACAAATACATTAAAAATGTTCAACATCCTTAGCAATTATGGAAATGCAAGTCAAAACTAAATTGAGATTTCATCTCACTATAGTTATAATGGCAATGATAAAGAATACAAACAATAATAAATGATGGTGAGGATGTGGGAGAAAAGGTACACTTGTACATTGCTGGTGGAACTGCAGACTAGCACAAGCACTCTGGAAAGCAGTGTAGAGATTCCTCAAAAAACTAGGCATAAAATCACCATATGGTTCAGCTATCCCATTCCTTGGTATTTTTCCAAATGAACTGAAATCATCATACTATAGCAATACAGCCATCTCAATGTTTATAGCAGCACAATTCACAATAGCTAAATTATGGAATCAACTCAGATGTCTGTCAATAGATTAATGATTTAAGAAACTGCCATTATATACACCATGGAGCTCTACTCGACTATAAAGAATGAAATTATGGAATTTGCTTGTAAATGGTTGGGACTGAAAGTTATCATGCTAAGTGAAATAAGCCAGGCTCAGAAACTCAAAGGTTGAATGCTTTCTCTCATATGTGGAAGCTACAGTAAAATAAAGGAGGGAAGGGCTAGGGTTGTGGCTCAGCGGTAGAGTGCTCACCTTGTACATGCAAGACCCTGGGTTTGATCCTCAGTACCACATAAAAATAAATGAATAAAGGTATTGTGTCCAACTACAACTAAAAAATAAATTAAAAAAAAACAAAGGAGGGAACAACAGGATATCATATAGACGGAGGGAAGATCAGTAATACAGTAGAAGGAGATCTAGAATTAGAGTAGAAGGATAGAAATGGGGAGGCAGGGCTAGGGATACACCTCAGTTGGTAGAGTGCTTGCCTTGCATGCACAAGGCCCTGGGTTCAATCCCCAGCACTACTAGAAAAGAAAAAAAAAAGTGGGAAAAAAGGGAAGGTAATGCAGAATGAATTGTTAAAAAATCATGTTACGTGAATATAATCATTATGGTTTTGAGAAAATAATAGTTTGTTTTATTTTCATTTCACAATCATTACTTTAATATTATTTAACAGAATGTTAAATATGGCATAGTTGATATGTATATAGTCTTAGAGGCAAATACCTGTGTTCATCTCAATTTTATTTGTTTCTATCAAATATATTTGGACTACCATTTTAAACCATGAGCCTTAAGTTGTTTGTATTCATAACATATGGCTTATAAAAATAATCTTATAGTGTGAACATAAAGATATGAAAATGCTTGATATTTGTTGGGTCTAAATAAAAGCTACTTTTCTCTTTTAAAAAATCATGTTATGTGCATATACAAATGTACCACAGGGAATTTGACCTATATGTGTAAGTACAGAGAACCAATCAAAAATAAATAGATGAGTGAAAGTAAGTCTAGCAGAGTAGAGGAAGGAGAATGGAGGGACGGGAGGGAGGATGGGAAGGAACAGGGGGATTATGAAATGAAATTGAATATCATGTATGTTTGACAGGATGAACCCAACTGCTATGTATAACTGTATTGCTTTAATAAAAAAAAGATCTACCTTCAGCATACACCATGCAAATGGCAACCAAGAGAGTAGGTGAGGCAATAGTTATATCTAATGAAATAGATTTCAAGTCAAAAGCTATTGCAAAAGCAATAAATATCATTATATAATGCTAAAGGGGTCAATTAATAAAGAAGACATGATAATTGTAAATTTTATATTAGAGCACCTAAATGTATAAATCAAATATTACTAGAATTGCAGGACAAATAAACAGCAATACAATATTAAAAGACTTCAACACCATACTCTCACAAAAGAACAGATTGGGCAAACAGAAAATCAGTAAGAAAACAGTGAATTTGAACAACATGCTTAGTCCCGAGTTTCCCCTTGTCTTGCCATAGTAGACCATGTCCTGCTACTCTGTTTTTTTTTTTTAAAGAGACAGAGAATTTTTAATATTTATTTTTCAGTTTTCAGCGGACACAACATCTTTGTTTGTATGTGGTGCTGAGGATCGAACCTGGGCCACACGCATGCCAGGCGAGCGCGCTACTGCTTGAGCCACATCCCCAGCCCCAGTGCTACTCTGCTTTTCCCTACCTTATCTTCCGTGTCCTTGCCCCCTTATATTGTTAACAAGGCAGATAACATGCCCCTTTTAAAACATGTGACAAATTGCATCCTTACTCTGATCGAAACCTCCTTTTGGCTCCCCTATCACCCTGCTGAAAAGCCCAAATCATTCCAATAGTCCACAAGGTGCTACTCTGCCCTGCACTCAAACAGGACATACATAAAAAAAAAAAAGGTTTGTGTATGCCACTCAAACATACCAGGTTATTGTCTGTTGCCTGTTTTGTAACCTGTGCAGAACAAGGGCCTGGATCACAACAGATGTTTAATAAGTGTCCTGGGATGAATAATTTCAAACTCAGAACAGCAAAAGGGAAAAGCAAAATGATTTTTGAACTAATATGTACATTTATAAGACTGACTACACAGAAACACTGTATTTTTTTTTTTTTTTTGACAGTGCTAGGGATGGAACCCAGGGCCTCACACATACCAGGCAAGTATTCTACCACTAAGCCACATCTCCAACCTCTTAAAGAATTATTACATGGGACATGATTAAATGACATATTAGATTCATTACATTAAAAACTTCCACATTCAAATTAGTTTGGGAAATCCTGCCTCTTTTTACTGTCTTGGAGAGATTTATATTATACTATCAAAGTTCTTAGAATTCTTAGAGCAAATAAAAATGTTTAAATTTGCAATAAATACTACTTTTATAATAAAAACAGTAATAAGAGTATTGTATCTTTTGAAAGAAAAATTAAGGCAAAGACAATTTAAGACAGAATATAATTTAATAATTGAACATCATTTTAAGCAAACAACACATTTTCCATTGTCTTGAAATCTGGAAAACCAAACACCACAATTGCCTTAATCAGTCTTCTAGTTCTTCAGTGGACTGGTTCACCTATAAGAATACTGACAAAAGATAAAATGGTAAATGCTGAAGTAAGTGTACAGTCCTATACACTCTCTTGGTCTGCATGGAATTACCATGTAATTTTTCCAAGACTGAATTTTTAGACAGTTGCTTCTTTTAATATGAATCAAATTATTTAATACAGGGGCTGGTGTTATAGCTCAGTAGTAGAGTTCTTGACTGGCATGTGTGAGGCACTGGGTTCCATCCTCAGCACCACATAGAAATAAATAAAGAAAGGTGCACTGGTGACTAAATTTTTTTTAATTATTTCATATACAGATTAAGTGCTTTGATGACTTGAGAAAACAGTAAGAGTGTGTTTCTAATACAGTGGGATTGGACGTAGTGACAGAGAAGTATGGTCACATAGTTTTTCTTCTTTCGTTTAAAAGTATAATTTAAAAAATGTACTGATCAAACAATATAGTTACAGAAAGATTGCAAGTTCAGATAAAATGATAAAAATGAAAATAACAATAATTGAAACAATCTATTCACTATCACATGGAGATAAAATGTCTAATATTTTGATCAAGTCCTGCACGTTTAGTTTTAAATTACAAATTGGATTAAACTGCATATCCTCTATTATAATCTGTTTTCCATTCAATATCATTCCATAAATGTGTCCACATAATTATTCTCTACATCAACATTTTATGACTATATAGTACTCACAGTATAAATGCACAATGGTTTTTTTATCCATCCCTAGAATAACAGACATTTAAGTTGTCTCCACTTTTTTCAATATTATAAACAGTACTAAAATTTCCTTGTATGTATATTTTTGTATTCTTAGTGCCAGTCAGTCCTCTGCCTCTACAGTACTGGGAGATTATCCAGGCTTCTATGCTGATTGCCTCAGGTAATAAGCTAGTGTAGAGATGAGCATAGAGGATATTTGCAATCCTTACTGTGAAATACAATAAAAATCAAGGAGTATTATTGAGAGTCTTCTTTTATTTCTGCAACATTTAGAATTTTAAAATATTTTTCTGTTGGGTTAATTTGGTTCCTTTCATCAAAGAAATTATATGTCTTATTTCTCTTTCTAGCAACCAAGTCAGACAGAAATGGACAAGTGGTCATTTCTTGGTAAATACTGGTTCACTTAACAAATTTAGTTTAACTATATCTTTTTCCTTGGGAATCTCCTTGGCTTAATATGATTTATATACATAAATATTTTGTTAAATTTTCAGGCAACTGAGAACACAATTATACATGGTTCCTTAGCCAAGAAAAGAAAATTAGGAGTTAAATTAAGTTTTGATCCCCAAATCTTTTTCCTTAAAACTGTCCCTTAATTACAAATGTGCAACTCTTAGGGAACCTAAGTGTTTCTGTACCCCACCCCTAAAGTTTTCCCCTCTTCTCATTCCTACAGTATCTTACGTTAGGCAACAGAGGGTCCCCATTAGTGATATGGTGATAAGAAAAGCAAAAATGGCTGCTGGAGGTATGGAGCTCATGATGAGGTTCCACAGGTAATCCCAGAAGTCGCTCAGCCAAGACCTCTGGTCTCCTGTAGAAAGAGCATAGACATTCACTGCAGAAAGGTCAAGTAAATGATGGGGTTGGGATTTGAATCTCAGTTTGAGCCCAAACAGTTATCCAAGATATGTTCCTACAGTTACTCAGAATATCTTACATATTTTGCTGTGCTGCCTCTAAGATGTTCAAAGAGTATATACATTATTTTAAAGAGGTATCCTCAGGTGGATATCATGTTTGCATCCTTATAGATCAAATATGAACAATCAACTGCCCTAGATATCTCTGCCAATAGATATCAATCTCTGTCCTACATATCTGAAGGGTTGAATTTATGGGGTACTTTGTGAAAGAGGAGCATAAACTGAACACAAGAAAATGATAATCTTCACTAACACATTGTTTCCTAGAGTATATCTGGAAGTTCTAGAGTACTTCAGGAGGCTTGGGGGAATTAATATCCCAGGAAGAGAAAAGAAAAACCCACCAGCCCTGGGAGCAGAGGAGGAAAAGGCTAGGGCAACTGGAAAGAGAAACTTTGGGGGTATCTGCTGATCAAAGTAAAGCTTGAGATGTTGGGTATTTCCTTTAGAAAATGGGGACAGAAGAGTGAGTATATTGTGATTTGACTCTAAGGAAAGAGGCAGGGGAAAACAAAAGTGGCTTCACACTTAATTGAAAAAGTCCACCAGTCACCACAACCCTTTCCAGAACTGGAGCTGCAGCATGCATGTTGAAAGCATGGCTTTGGGAGCCTCTAGGAAGATCAGTGGACCATCATGTTTCCTTATTTCAAGTTTAACCTCCTTTTCAAATCTTCCCTTACGCCTGCCCCAACAACTTTGATTATCCCCATGTTCTTTGGGAGCATTTGTTAAATTCCATGGAAGGTTAGCATCTATGGTTTTGTCTACCCTACAAAGGGCTTGGTAGAAACTAGTTAAGTTAATGCTTGTTGAACTAAACTTAACCAAACCAGTATAGTTAGCTTTCTTGTGAACATTATTTCACATGAAATCAGTTTTTCCTGACCTGCAACATGAATCATATGTCTTATGAAGATAGGAACATTCATCCTAACAGCAAACACACCCCTTGAGCGTGGTTTCAGTCCTGCGTTTTCTTGAATTCCAAAATCATATAATGGCGAAGGAGGGGAAGCTACTGTCACCAACAAGGAGCAAGTCAGTGAACACAACAGAAATACAATGCTCAGCAGCTTCTGGGGCTCCATGGACTCTTACTCTGCCAAAGGGAAATTTCTTTGTCCTTAGTTCTTTACACAGCAGCTTTGTCTGAAAAGTTAGAAAGCAAGGGTTTAGTTCTTCTTCTTTTTTTTGGGGGGGAGGGGTTAGTTCTTATTGAAAAAAAGCTTCCCACCTTTCACACACAGATAATTCATTGACTTATGTGGATGAATCCTGAACATGCTCAGTAGTCCAAAGTAAAATGTATTCCCACTCTAACATCAAACCAAAACAAACCTTACTACACTGTGTCAGGTCAGATGTCTATACTGCTCCCCTATGAACCTTCCAAAACTTAATCAATGGGAAACTTTTCAGCTGTTCAAGCCAGTGCTTGTGCATCATCTTTGACTCTTTCACTTCCTCACCTTACTTACCAGAAAAAATCCTGTCAGATTTATCTATAAAATATATCCAGAATCCTTCCACTTAACACTACTTCCACTGGTACCCACCATCATCTCTGCCTCCCTTCACTCTCTTCTCTACTGAGAAGCCAAACAGATCTCATTAAATTGTAGGTCAGATTATGATCCTAGTTACTTGTCTGACTTCATAGTCTCTTCTCTTGATCATTTGGACTCACCCTCATTTTTACTATAATAATAATAAACCCCTATTTGATCCATTATATTTTGGGCTTTCTACTACTAAAGACATTCATAAGTGATACATTCATTTACTTGCTGATATACCTTAATCATGCCTGGTGGGGAGCCACTTACCTGAAAGTTAACTGAACACCAAGGTATCCAGAGAAGCCATAGAATTGGACCTCAGCACTCAAGAGTACAGCAGTCTTAAGAAGGTTGCCAGAGTCTTTCCTTTAGGCCTATGGAGTTCCAGACAGAATCCTACCACTCTTTATTATATCATCAACTGTATTTGACCCTCCCCCAGCCTCTATTCAACAGCTAAGCACCCAGACATCTTTTTTCTATCCCTGCATATCTGGGTTGATACTGAAAACCATTCTTACTGTAGTTATACTTTCTTAGGCTTGAAGAATTCTAAGACATTTTGTTTGCCACATGGTATTTGCTACATCTTAAAATAGTGTATATGTGGGACTTTAATACATGATACATGATAAATATGGCCTTTTGTATCATATGGGGCTGGGGGTGTATGGTACTTGCAAAGTATGAATGAGGTCCTGGGCTTGATCCCCAGTGCTGCAAAACAATTCTATATGGAGTCAGGATTACATGGATAAAATATGAATGGATATTTTTATAATCTTGGTATAGAAAAATATATTCTAACCATAACTGTTCATCACTGTCCAAAATACCTGATAAGAACAACCTAGAGTAGGAAAAGCTTATTTTGTGCTCACAGTTTCAGAGGTTTCAGTCCATGGTCAGTTGACTCCACTGCTTTACACCTGAGGTGGGTGGGACAGAGCATCATGGCAGAAAGGCATAGTTGAACAAAGCTGCTGAGTTTATGACAGCCAGGAAGAGGGAGGGAGGGAAAAAGGAAGAGAGGGAAAGAGAGGGAGAGAGAGAGCGAGAGAGAGGGAGAATGTGGGGGAGAGGAAGGAAGGAAGGAAGGAGAAGAGGAGGAAGAATGGGGGGGGGAGAAGGGAGGGGAGGGGAAAGGAGAGGAGAGGGTGAGGGGAAAAGGCAAGAGACTAGATAAACCCTTTCAGGGCATGCCCCAGTGAACAATGACCCATCCTTCAGTAGTCGATTGAACTATCAACTGATTAATCCAACATATAGATTAATCCACTAACAAGATCAGAGCCCTAATCATAGCTTAAAATCCTTGGATATACTGGTGACCATGCTTTCAAAATATGAGCTTTTTTGGGGGGACAATAAAGAGCCACACCACAGCACATGATAAAATCCAAAGCCATAAATAAATATGCAGATAAACTTAACACATAAAAATGTAAACCTTTCATGCAGCAAAACAGTGTAAAAAGATAAAATATTAATGACAGATAAATTGAATTTCACAACATATATAACAGACGCTTATAAATTATTATTTTAATATTTATCTTTTTAGTTGTAGTTGGACACAATACCTGTATTTCACATATTTATTTTTATGTGGTGCTGAGGATTAAACCCAGGGCCTCGCACGTGCTAGGTGAATGCTCTACCCCTGAGCCACAACCCCAGCCCATAAATTATTTTTTTTTTAAGTTTTCCATGTAATGGGCTGGAGTTGTGGCTCAGTGGTAGAGTGCTCACCTAGCATGTGCAAGGCCCTGGGTTCGATCCTCAGCACCACAAAAAATAAGTAAATAAAATAAAGATATTATGACCAACTACAACTAAAAAGTAAATATTTTTTAAAAAGTTTTCTGCCTAAGAGCTGGGCATTGTGGTGCATGCCTGTAATCCCGGCAGCTTGGGAGGCTGAGTCAGAAGGATTGCGAGTTCAAAGCCAGCCTCAGCAACAGTGAGGTGCTTAGCAACTGAGTGAGACCCTGTCTCTAAATAAAATACAAAATAGGGCTGGGGATGTGGCTCAGTGGTTGAGTGCCCCTGAGTTCAATCCCTGGTACCAAAAAAAAAAAAAAAAAAAAGATTCTATGGAAGAATTAGCAAAAATTAAAAATCAGGATCCTATTAGAAAAAAAGAGCCAACTGTGTGTGTGTGTGTGTGTGTGTGTGTGTGTATATGATTTCTTTATAAGAATTTGACCTTATAGAATTGTACAATTTGTTTTTACAGTCTATAGGAAGCTGTTGCTTCTGTGTCTGATGCTGTCACCATTCATTTGAGGGTTCTTTTGCTCAATTAGGATAGAAATCACAAATAGGCAAAGTGTAGCTCCATTTGTGTTTGCAGCTCTCCCTACTGGTCTCTTAGCAAATGTAATCAGTAGCTACTGGCAGCTGTATGGAACTCTTCCAGCAACCAGAGCTAGCAGCTCCCACAGTTGTCCATTGCTTCTACCAGTCCCCACTGCTCTCTGGATGTCAGCTGTTCTCACTTTTCCTTGCCCTGAGTGCTGGTCTGTTTCAGTACCAGCAGGTTTTACTGTTACCAGCTCTTAGTGCCATCAGCTTAGCCTGCTCTATTCAAGATGGAAATCAAGAATAGACAAGATAAAAACATCTGAAAGAAGCCTTATTAGGACTTGTGCTGCAGCATAAGAGGAATCAGTACATGGACTGATCCAATGATAGATGAAGTATGCTTCTATAGACAGAATGGTAGGCTCACACATGTGCAGTGTCTTGCTGGCTAACCATGGAACACAGTGGGACATCTAAGCAGCTACAAAGGGCAGAGATATCCAGAGAGGCTGCAGGGCCAATTATCGGGAACACAGCTAGGATGGAAGAAAAGTACCTTTTGGGGGAACATTTAACCCTTCTCTTCTGTCTGAGTGCTAGGGCTTTAAGTCCACATGATTGATAAGAATGGAAGATGGGGTGAAGTTTAAGAAAACAAATACACACTGGCAGTCTGCAGGTACACGCTGGAGCCCATAAGATGGGCTAAAATCTGCATTAGTTGCAAAGTTGGAAGCTTTAGGGTACTATGAATGAAAAGTTGACCTATTTCATCAAAGAGCTAAACACACACCTTTCCTAGGATTTGGAAAAGTTTAAGGATCCAGAAGGAGCTGGAGAACCTGCAAACTTGGTCATTGCCTTATGCCCATAAGTTAAGACAGTAGATAGTGAGAATGTATATAAGCTAAAAATTGGTATTTTGGGCTTCTTTTCAAGTATAAAAAGAATATGGCTACTGTATAAGTTATCTATTGCTGCATGAAAAGGTAGCCCCAATCTTAGCAACTGAAAATAAAAATTGATTCTTATCTTATAGTTTCTGTAGCTCATGAAGTTTGGAGTGGATTAGCTGAGTGGATCTGGCATGGGGGTGGAGAGCTTTTGAAGAGGTGGTGACCATACCCTGAAAGGCTTCATGCTTACTTTAATGTTCTCATATCACTATCTGAAAATTTTTAGTAATTTTTATCTTTATTCTTGTATCTTTAAGTGAGGTTTGATAGGACAATGAAGCATGTGCATGAACACACTAAATAAATGTAGTATACAGGTTTCTTCCATTCTTTGCCACTCTACTTGTATGGTAGTTACAATGCCCATGAATGTGGAAGTTCAGTGAGATTCAAAATGGAGTATTAAGAAAGTATGCTACATCAGTGGCAGTCCCAAGAGGCCCCTTTCTATTTCAACCAGAAAGAAGACAATGGCATTCCAGGACCCTTATCATTTCCTTTCTTATTCCTGTTATTTTGGTGAAATTGATGACATAGAAGGAAAGAAAAAGATAAGGTGACTAGTTCTTCTTTTTCCTTTTAACCCTTCATTACTCATCTGTAAGCTAACAGTAATAAAGAAATTTAACAATTTAAATTAATTAGCATGAATTTTACTGTTCATATTGTGTAATGCCAGTTTAAAATGCAAATGTAAGAGTAGTTAACTCATTAGCTAGATCAGCCAGCTCATTATACACATTTTATGCTTTCCATGTTATTGAAGGTACTTTCTTTAATTACACAAGAATTCTTTCTCATCCAGTTTCTGATGACATGCTCCATATTTCTTTCTAAACATTCAGTGGTAGTATCCTCTAAATCTAGATTTTTTTTGGGGGGGATACTGGGGATTGAACTCAGTAGCACTCAACCACTGAGCCACATCCCCATCCCTATTTTGTATTTTATTTAGAGACAGGGTGTCACTGAGTTGTTTAGCACCTTGCCATTGCTGAGGCTGGCTTTGAACTGGAGATCCTCCTGACTCAGCCTCCCAAACTGCTGGGATTACAGGCGTGTGCCACTGCACCCAGCCAGATTTTTAATAACAGTCTATTATTGTATTCCACCTACTTCCAGGTTTCAAAGGAACTCTCATGTTTGTAGTTATTTTTTGGAAGCACCTCATTTCCAGGTACCAATATCAACCTATTGCTACATTAAAAATTCACCCATACCTTAATATCTTAAAACAGCAAGCACTGTCTCACAGTTTAGTTGGATCAGGAATATCCCAAAAGGCTGCAATCAAATTGTGTCAGTGTTCAATTTGGGGGAATATCTTTCCAAGCTCACTCATGAGTCTGTAATGAGACCTCATATCCTCACTAGCTTTTGGCTGAAGACATCATTTTCTTGCCATGTGGGCATTTCCATAGTATCGGTGACAACATGACACTGGTTTCCCCGAGATTGAGGACTCCATGTGAGAGATTACAAGCTGAGCAAAAAGGAAGTCACAGTCTTTTGTAACCTAGTCTCAGAAAGAGCATTCCATCAGTTTTTCTATTGGTTAGAAGTGAGTTACCAGGTCCAGCTGACAGTAGTAGGGAGGAAATAGCACAATATGAATACCAGAAATCAGAAATCATTGGGACCATTTTAGAGGCTGCCTACCAATCTAGTTTTCAAGGGAATGACTCTATTTTAAAGATTTCAACATTCCTTATATTAATCAGTGAATTCAATTAAAATACCAACATGAGTGCTCAGAACTGGATAACTGACTGTTTTAAATTTGGGTTGACTAGAAGCAGATTCTGAGATGAAGATTCCAGTGCATGTATTTATTGAAGGCATGTGCTCAGAAGAAAACTGTAAGAGAATGCAGGAAGGACAAAGGAAAGAACTACAAAAAATTTTGATTTCAGATGATATGCAGCTTTAGCTTGATTTCATGGAGTTCACTGGTGCATAATTTGTACCTCAGACTTGACCTTCCTTGAGATAAGGGATTCAGACTTCGTAACCTGTCCCAACTTGGTACTTGGCCATGATCTTCCAGGGGTGAGAGCAGGCTCTGTAATCTTCTGGGACCTCTGAGTCATGTCTGGTATCTTCCAGTTCATTGATCCTTCCCCAAAAGATCAAACTCCAGGCTTCTGGTAGTGCTGAGTAGGATTAAACTACTTCTCAAACAATCCAGACAGTTTCTCAAATAGTTTTTTTTAGGTTTAACATTAACATTTACCTTGATTTCAAGAATTACTCAAAGTCACAGACTGCTTTCCCCACAACCTTTTTGAGGATTCTATAGTGTAAATCTAGTTGTTTCTTAGTCTTGGATTCAGCTTTCTTGGGTTTTCTGAGTTATTTGCCACTTACATGTCTTCATACAAATGGCTTCAGGGCATATCTAGTAGGACTGTATAGTTTAAATTCATAGAAAAATAATGAAACCATAGACAGTGTAGGGTAGTATGTAACCCAGAAGCCTGAGAGGGATATTGGCCTTAAGTTATAAATTGTCTTGGAGCTAACAAGGGAAGAGAGGGGACCAACAGGGACTGTCATGAGCCCCTCAGTAGACCTGCTGGGCCTCACATCCCAGAACCTCCAACCTCAGGGCAATCTGGTGTGTCCAACTCTGGGGGTGAATTCTAAGGTAGCGAGTCAGTAATGGTGGGTCTAGAGAGTTCACCACAGGTGTGAAGGAGTCTTGATTTCCCTGAAAAATCTGAAAGAGGAAAGACAGCATTTATTAGT